GATAGGATTACTACTACTACTACTACTACTAATAATAATAAAATAATAATAATAATGAATGATAATGATATTAATAATAATAATAACAATAATCATGGCAATGTTAATCATACTAAAAGAATGACAGCAATGGTAAAAGTAAGAATCAGAAAACAATGACAAATATAATGATCATGATAGCACGAACAACTGCTATGGAATATTACTGTAGTAATTACTGTTATGACTATTGCCTCTATCGACAGGAGAATTTCAGCTTTGCCCTAGAGGCGACTCGCCGCTTCGTCGCAGACGAGGAAATGCTCAGTGTGCCAGCCGACGCGATCATTTCAGAAGGTGCGGCAGGCCAAAGCTACCAGGAGCGCAGCTGTTGTATGTCTGCGTGCACGCCTTCTCACGATGATTCCACAAAATCGTTGGAAGCAGTCAGCTTGTGCAACTGTCAGGCTTCGCACTGGACCCTAGCAGTTGCCCATCGCCTTGTGGAGGAGGACGGCTCCGTCCTGTGGAGAACAAGGTGGTCAACTCTGGCCAACATCCCTCATGCAGGACTGCTTGGGATCCGATTCGCGCTTCTGGTGCAGGCCTCAGCAAGGTTTGTATGAACTTTTTGCTGAGGTGAAGTTGCAGCACTGTGGTAGTCTAGCCAAAGGCCGTACATTCAGCTATTACTCGAGGGCAGCAGTCTCAGACTTCGAAATTTCAGCTTCAGGCTTCCTGCAATTGCAGTCGCGGAGATGGTTCGTGGCTGCGAAAACTTCTCCTTGGCATATTCTGCATGGCATAGGTGAGCCGCATGATCTGAAGATCATGGACCGTTTGCCGGGCGTTGCAGGGTGTGGGCCTTGGCCAGATCGATTTTGTATCCTGTCCGCTTCGCTGGGCTTTTGAGGTCCCTGGCGCGTGAAAGGGCCAAACTCCGTGCCGTGCAAGTCGCTGAAATTTGTGCTGCCGTACCCACCTGCACTCCCCAACGCGCTGACCTTGGCACCCGGTCACCATGGCTCGTAAGCGCCTCCTAGTAGCTGCCTCTGCCATTCGTGCAAGATGCGCCAGGTGCAGCTCGTGCCATGTACGCTGTGGATTCACGGACGGCGCCTCCTGTTGCACAGCCGAGGAGGGGCGCGCGTCAGTATTCTGATTGCATCTAGCCAGGTGTATTGGCATCCTGCTCAAGTTCGAGCTTTAGCCCCTCTCTCGGCACGGGCTTGTACAACCTGCGAGCCAGCACTGATGAAAAACCTGCTATGAGGTTCCATACTTCGATTTCGTGAACCACAGCGCTTGCCCAAACTCGCGGTGGATCATGAACTCCGACGGTTCTCTAAGGTGCTGCCCCAGTTCTCTTCGTGCAGTTGTCGCTGGTGTGCATAGAATCTTGTCAACACGATCGAGGCTTCTTGCAACTGGACATATCGAGATTGGTGAAGAGGCCATGCACGGATGACGAACCAGAAGGAGAAGAAAGATGCGGGCTTGTCAGGTGACCATTACGTACGATTCGATTCCCAATGCGCCTGTGTCCCAGCTTTCCGAGCCAGCACATATTCATCTTCTGCGAAGCTCGAACCCACCATGGTTCCAAATTCCACATTCTGACACACACTCACCCACAAATGAAGCAGCATGCTTGAGGCGATTGCTGGTGACATACGGTTTCGTGCTTGAGGGAGAAGGTCCGCACAGGACTGCCCCTGCCGGTAGGCTCAAGGGTTGAAGCTTCCGCGTAGCTGAGCCTGGGCAACGGTCTGTTCCCGGTAGACCGGCAAATATCTTCCACAAGCATGGCGCCATCGAGTGGCGGCTGGCAGATGAGACACCAAAGAATGCTGAAGCAGATGGATGCTGCTTTGAAGAATGAGTTGAAGCTCTGCTGTGCGGGACGGCGGGGCCAGCCATCTCGGATGTTGGGAAAGCCGAGATGCTGGCCGGAGATACGAGATCTGGTGCATCAGATTCTTCGAGGCAAACAGAAGGTAATTGCTGACTCAGCGGCGTGGTGCCGCTGGTGGCCTTGCTGCAGCATGATTTGGAGAAAGAACTTTGAACATGGGCTTCCGTCGGAAGCCGAACTGCTAGCTATGTGTACTGGAAAGGGAGATGATGAGCTCAGCCGTGGTGGCCGCACTGTTGTGGGTTTACAGGGCGACCAAGCTGAGCAGGAAGCGTCGCCAGGGCTGGAGAGTGCTGGCGAGGACTGTGGGTCAAGTCCTGCCACATACCCCCAGCCTGACGAGATTTCTGAGAAGGAGCTGCTTTTGACCATGTCTGGTGATGGTGGCGACGATGGCTGGAGCGAGCCCTTCCAGAATTTATCCCGTGAGCCTGTCACGGCTCATTTTGAGCCGATGCAAAGGAGCTTGCCTGATGGAGCCGTAGAGCACCCTCTTCCCCCTCGGGGTTTAGGCCCTCTCCCTTCCTGCCAGAGTGAGCCCGACTTTTCTGAGTGTCAGGCCGAACCCTTTGTCCCCCGGGTGATTGGGTTTAGGCCTTCACCCCCTGTGTGTGCTGAGCCTCCGTGTCCTCAGCCACCGCCGTCAGCAGCCGAGATCCCCTGGCCCCTTCTGGGTCTAGGCCCTCTCCCCGCTCAGATGCCGAGCGCCAAGCTTTTCTTGCAGGATGCCCAGACCTCTTGGCCCACTAGGGTTTTAGACCTGCCTTCGGTCTCCCCCTGTGCTTTGCCTCTGCCCTCGTTGAGGGTTGGTGGCGGTCCCGGGTTTGAGGGCTTATTGGAAGGCCTTGTGGCACAGCTCATGCCCATGATTACTGAGATGATTCAGAAGGCCATTGCCGAGGCTTTGGGCAGAGGCCTTGCTGCTGAGGGTGGCAATTCAGCCGCCAGAGCCGAAGCTCCGACTGCAGAGCCGCGGCCCAAGAGGCATAAGGGAGGAGGTCGCGACCCGAAGCGCAAAAGCCCCGAAACGATTGAATCCCCCAGTGGACGCGGTGCGTCCAGTGCCGGAAATGATGCAGGCCCGAGTGGCCACCGTCGTGTTGTGCGAGGTAAAGGAGCTGGCGGAGATCATGCTGCGCCTTCGGCCCCAGTGGCCCCTGCAGCGCCAGCCGATGGAGGCTGGCAGACGGTGCAGAGAAAACGTGAAGAGGCCGAGACCTTTGAGCTTCGAGGGCAGGATTGGGATGTGCCCATTGTTCCTCACGACGCCATCGGCCGCAAGCTTGATGAACTCCCTGAGGGCAAGCCCTTGGAGGCAGTGATCCTAGCTTCCAAGTCCAACTTGGACACGGTGCGAACCATTTTGCGTGGAACATCAAAGCCGCATCGCATTATGTGCGTCGAGATCAAGAAGGACGGTAAGGAGAGAATCCCTGGAAGGGTCGGAAATCAGCTTCGTTTCAAGCAGGCTGAGATCACGACACATTTTTCGCAAGGCACTGCGGCTCCCAGGTATGCCGGGAAGAAGGCTGCAGCTGTTACCATCGCGCCCACAACGACCACCACGGTGTACATTCGCATCCCGGCTGCTTACTGCAGTGCTGAAAGATGGAAGGAGATCCGAGGCAGCCCGGCCAAGACGGTGGCAGCATGGGCGGCCGAGCAGAGGGTCGTTCTTGCTGATTCGTGGGGCTGGGTCGAAGAAACCCTGCCGAAGCAAGGCTAGCAGCTGTTTGGGAAGGCTAGGCTGGCCGAGAAGGAGATGTCCAGCCTCCTTTGTTGCAGCGGTCGCGGGGGCATCTTTGTTGATTGCATTCGCGATGCCATCCCAGCCCAGATTCAGTGGCTTGCTCGCGTTGACAATGAGCCCGCCACTGCTTATTTGGAGCGTGGGCTTCGAATGTCGGCTCAGCTTGGGCTTGCCTCACAAGGCGGCCGCCTTGGGGCTCGTTCGGCTCGGGACCCGAATGCTGCTATCCCGAGGATTTGGGTGCTGCCTCATGTGCCTGCTGACTGGGGCCCTCCGGAAGTCACCCAGGTCTTGACACAATCCTTCGATGACATCACGCTCATCCACCACAGGAGGACGGGCCGTGAGCAGCTCTACCGCTTTCGAGGAAAGCACAAATTCGGTGACCGGGACATTGTCCCGTTGCAGGTGCAGCTCGACGAGGACGGCAAAACGAACGAGATCACCATGTGGGCCACGATTGCTCCGGTGAAGACCCCGAGTAACAAGCAAATATGGCTGCGAAATCAGGCAGTTCCCCTGATCGAGCCCAAGCCGCCGGCCTTGAAGGCGACTCCTGTTAAGGCCCCCCAAACCCCGGCTGGTCAGGAGGAGGGCGAGACGCAGCAGCCGGCAAACTTGCGGGCGGTGAGCCATCGACAACTTCCTGCCGGAGTTCAAATTGACGAGGCTCCGAGAGACGGCAGTTGTCTCTATCATTCGGTTGCCAAAGGTTTGCAATGGCTGACTGGCAAATCCTATTGCCACCGTGACTTGAGGGCCAAGGCGAATCAGCATATCGAGAAGCACCTCGAGCAGTACCTGCCGGAGTTTGACGGACAGGGGCCAAGCAATGAAAAGCTTCGGGAGACTCACCCTGGAGACGACTCGGAGGCACTCAAAGCCTACCTCAAATTGGCTGCCTGTGAAAGTGCCTACGCCAGCAACCTGGAGATCAAAGCCTTATCCAGGATTTATAATGTGTGCATCGTCGTGGTGCCAAGAGATCCCAGGTTCGGCACTCTCACCTTTAAGGAGAACCGGCGTGCCAAGACCATTGCCTTGTGGCTGACCCCAAAGCATGTTGACCTGCTGTTGCCAGTTGACAAGGATGCCAAGTACCCGGCCGAGCTCTTCACTCCGAGCCCGGGTCAGGTTATTGACCTTCGTGCGGGAGGCAGGCCATTTGGTGGTGCCGCCTCGTGTTGCAGCAAAGACTCCTCGGCTGTCAGTCAGTGGACTCGTGCCTCCGATGCCGTCTCCTCTGCCCTGTCGCTTCCCAAGGCCAAGGCCAAGGCACTCAGCCAGCCAGCTGCCTCGTGCAATCTGTCGGCTTCTTCGATTCGTTCGGGCACGGTCTGGTCGGGCCCCACCTCGAAAAGGCGTCGACTTGAGAAGGTCCAGGCGCCCACTGACCATGGACACACTGGCCCGCCAAGCACTGGCGCTGCCGACGGCGCGAGCGAGCCTGAATCCCACTGCCCAGAGCCGCCGACGCCTGTTGAAGGCACTCCTCAGCCGGCCCGCCGTAAGCCGATTCACTATCATACAACGACGGGCCCTGCCTTAGCTAAGGGGGTTTTCCAGTGCGAGTTCTGCCCTTTTCGTGTGACGGGGAAGACCCCTGAGCAGCTCAAAAAGATTCGCAATGCGCACCTTTTACGCAATCATGAGGGTCGGGGTCTCTACAAGCCGCCGGTGAAACCTCAGCTCACTGGCCGAGGCAAGAAGGCTGATTTTCATTGGCGGTGCCCTTTGTGTAAACATGGCCTTCTTCGGTGTGATGTCGAGGATCATTCTAGAAGCCAGCTTGCTCGCATCAAGACGGCCCATAGGCTCCAGGCTCACCCGGAGATCAGTGCCCAGGCCTGGAATTGCATGATGATTCGACAGGGTATGACCTCTCTGCGACAGGCCAGGATCCGAGCTTCAAGATCAAACAAGAGGACTTCGCTGATCAAAATTCAGGACCTGCCGGAGCACGTTGTTCCCTTCGTGCTGCCGGTGCCAGCCCGGAAACAAAAAGCTTCGGATGATGGACTCAAGCAGCCGAGGACCCTGGCCAAGGTCGGGTTTAAGAACTGTTGGAAGTGCAAACGGTGCGGGACTATTGCCCGTACCAAGACCTTCCTCAAGCAGCACATCGGTAAGAAGTGCCCTGCTGTCTATCCGGGTGTTGTTCAGGCCAGACTGAGGCAGCTCAAGAGCCTCAAGCGCCAAGTTGCTGGAGCCCAAGCCACGGGCTACAACAAAGTTCAGCTGCATGAGATTTTTGAGTCTGCCCGTCGGGCTATCGAGGAGATGCCTTCCCCGCCTTCGTCTCGCTTCTGAGCTGCAATGTGGCCCGCCGTGGGGCCGCTACCATTGAGGCTGTTGCCTCCATGCTTCGGGTGCAGAATGCTGCTGTGGCAGCTTTTCAAGAGGTTGACATCAACAGGGACACTGCCCCTGGCTTTGCAGCGGCATGGCGTCGTCAGGGTTTCCAGACTGTCCTTGGACCCGTGGGCACCCAAGCCCGACACAGGGTTGCTCTGGTCTCCAGCCTTCCGATGCAGCCCGTTCAGATGGAGATGGAGGTTGAGAGTGATCGGGTTGCTGCCGGTCTGATCTCTCTGCCTTTGGGAGGTCGGACTGTCTCGGCGCTCGTTGCCTCCTTTTATGGTTTCCCTGGAGACTTGCCTCGTACTAACCATGCCTTCAGCGCTTTGATGCGGGCTATCTCGGTGTTTGGCGGCCCCTTTGTCATTTTGGGGGATTTCAACTGTACCCAAGCTGAAGGTGTCGTTGCAACCACTCTCTGCGCACATGCTGTCCGAACAGCTGATGAGGCTTACTCCTTTGAGCCGCCGCATACCAATCCTACCAACACGCGCCGCATTGACTATGGCCTGACCCATCCGGATTTGGTGGCAATAGACGGGCATACCTTTCGTCAGCAGGAGCTCTCTGACCATGGGATCGTGCGTATCGACTTTGGAGGTGATAGCTTTCAGCCCTCCTGGCAGCGGCCTCGTTTTTCCCGTTTCGCTGGTCCCAGGCCTGACACAGCGCCCACCATGGATTTTCCACACGGTGAGTTGGATTCTTTGCTCACGCATGCCAGGGTTGATGCAGCTTGGACTTTGCTGTCTGATTGGGCCGAGACTTATCTTGGCATCGGCAGAGCTTCTTGTCGCAGAAGCCAGCCGTGGCGACCGGAGCCACGGGAACTCCCTTGTGGGGCACCGACCCGTGATGGCCACGAACCTCGGCCTCTTCGTGCACTGCGACATTTGGGGTGCCGACTGCAACAGCTTGTGCAAGAGCCCTGGAACACTGAGCTTGGTCAGCGTCTGACTCGGTCTTTGCGCCACACTCGGGCGCAGGTGCCAGACCTCCCGTCCATCGACCCCGCCCTCCCTGCCGAGGCTCTGCCTGTGGTCAACGAGCTGATCGAGTCGCACCGGGTTGCCCACCGCGAGGCCTGCTTGAGCAAGTGGCGACAAAAGATTCAGGAGTCGCCGAACCGTGCCATCACTTGGATCAAGCGCCGGGCTGATCTTGACATGGCATTGCAACAGCCTCCTACTTTGGAGGCTGCCATGACGGGCACTGTGCATCCTGTCAACCGCGTGCGGGAGCAAGGCGAGCTCTGGACCAGACGTTGGCAAACACCCTCGACTGAGGCTGACTTGCCTGCCTATCGTCGTTTGTTGCACAATCTGCCTCAGCACCCTCAAGTTGAGCTGGATTTGATTCCCACTGTGCAGGAGCTCAAAGGTGCCATGGGCAAAATGAGGTCTAAGGCACCTGGCGCAGATGACTGGCAAGCCAACATGTTCTTGGCCCTCCCCATGGATTGGTGGACTGGGTTCCAGAGGCTTTGGGCCGCCGTGGTCACAACAGGGCTGGTTCCTAGCATTTGGCAGCGATCCTTGATTGTTCTGCTGTCAAAGCGAAACCATGCTACGCGACCAGTGGCCTTGTTGCCACTGGCTTGGAGGGCAGGCTCTCGGGTCATTGCCAAGCGGTTGAAGAGCTGGGTCGTTCAGTGGACGATCATCGCGCCTGCGGGGCGGCTCCGGGGAAGAGTGTGGCCGATGTTCACGCTCGAATTTTGCAAGCCTGGAATTTGGGCGCTCGATCTTTCATTCAACAAGACCTTAGTGCTTTCTTTGACTCGTTGAGTGTGCCTGTGATCACCGAGACCTTGCGTCACTTGGGGGCACCGGAGGCTTTGACTCAACTCATCTCCAGCTTCTATGCTCGGCAGCTTAGACTGTTTGTGATTGATAGCCACACCACCTCCTTTTGGAGGCCGGCCCACATTGGCTTACTGCAGGGATGCCCTCTAAGTCCGGTCCTCAGCCTCTGTGTTGGGCACCTCTGGACTCAGCATGTGTCTTCGCGGCATGTTGAAACTGGGATTTTCATCGACGACCGGGTACTGTGGATGCCTGCTGACGGCGCCCCTTCTGCACAGGAGGCACAGCAGGCTTTGCAGCGCAGCGATGAGTTCGACAGGGCAGCAGGGCTGACGTGCTCGCGACCTAAGTGCCATCTTGTGACCGAGGATCCAAACAGCCCTTGGATTTCTGTGGCCCGGGAGCGAGACTACACACTGGTGCCGAGCCTCCAGTTTCTTGGAATCGATCTTTCAATGACGACTGGCACCGCTAGCCCGTTGAAGCTTTGCTTGACTAAACTCCGCACCCGGCTCAGGCATGCCACAAGCCCTGCTTTCAGCCTTGGTGCTAAGTTTCAGGTCATCCGCTCCTTGATCTTTCCCGCCTTGTTTTGGGCTGCAGGGGTCGCTCTGCCGGAACTCGAGGAACTCAGTGCCATTAGGCTCAGTGTCAGTCATGCCCTTCAGGCTGTGATGACTTTCGAGGCACCTCGGGTGCTCATCGGCCAAGTGCTGGGCTGGACAGCGGACCCCTTTTGGATGGCTGACTGGGCTTCCTTGTCAGCCCTCACTCGATCGCTGATTCGTCCTTCTAATGGGTCTGAAGAGGATATGCTCAGCTCATTACGAGTCGCTCGCACCGCGGGGAATCCTGCTGCCATTCAGACAATCCGACGCCTGGGATGGCAGCTCGATGTTGCTAACCGTCGCCTCCAGCGCAGAGATGACCGAGGCACTCTGAGAAATTTTTGCTTTGGAGAAGACTCCATGCAGGTTCTTCGCCGGTGGCTTACTGAGTCGCATGTGCAAGAAGCTGCCAGGACATGTGGTCGCATCGCTAGGCGCATGCATCGGGACGACCCCACCCTTGCGGTTGGTTTAGACCTTTCCCCCCCCTGGGGCTGACCTTAGGTTCGCCTTTTTAGGTCACGGCCTTCAGTACAAAACTGCTGCATCCCAGAATGCTAAGAGAGCTTGCCTGGTGACCGGGGGCACTGCCTGGCACTTTGGGCGAAAGCACGGTGGCGCACAACCCACCTGCCTTTGTGGTCGATCCTGGCCGTCCCGCTCCCACTTGTTGTGGGCTTGCCCAGAGCTGTGCGAGATTCGGGCAAATCTCGCCCCACCGGTAAATCGGGTTGAGGAGAGGCTCTTGGGCCATCCGATCTCGGAGCACCCATGCCCGCCTGTGGAGGAGATTCCCTGCCGAGGCCCTTTGGTGCAGCTTTTCGAGGCCGCTGCCGCGGCCAATATCGAAGAGCTGACGGTGGCTACAGACGGCTCCAGCCTGGAGGGGATTGGAAGCTTTGCCTTCGCCTGCAACAGGCCTTGTGTACGGATCGCTGGCGCCGACACTCATGAAGATCAAGCACCCTTCAGAATGGAGCTGAAAGCTTTGGACGAGTTGTTGTCAGCTTTGCTTGCGACACCGAGACCTCCGAGGCGTGTTCATATTCTCGTTGATTGTGAAGCTGCGATTCGAGCCCTGTGCTGCCCGAGTCAGTGCTCACTTAGGCTGATGGCGGAGCGGGCTTTCCAGTCTGGCCATTTTCTGCGAAATCGAGGCGTTGATTGGTCCCTGGTGTGGATCCCGAGCCATGGGAAGCGATCCTCTTGGAGCCCTCCCTCGCGGGTCCCTGCGACGATGGAGGAGTGTAGAAGGCTGAACGCTGCTGCTGACGAAGAGGCTCAGAAGCTTTGCAAGAGCCGCCACAGAAACTCGCTCAGGGCAAACTGGCAGCAAGAGGTTGTGCTCGCCAGTACAGTTGAGAAGGCTCGTGTCAGTGCTTTGACCAAAGCCTCTGAGATCTTAGAAAATCACATGTGTACAGCCAGGGTCCGTGTCCCTGGAGTCATTTACGACGATGTATAGACCGGGTGACTTCAGCCCACACGTGAGGACCGGCGTGGGACCTACTACCTAGTAGTTGGCCCACGGACGCAAGCAACCCAGAATGAAAAAAAAAATGCCCCTGCCGGTTGCACGGATGTGCAAAAAAAACGCATGCGTTCAGAGAACGGATGTGTCAGGAGCGTGGACATGAACCTCTCTTTCGGGCAGCTGCCAGATGCGCTGAATGAGGCTCTGGAAGCCTTCCTCTCTTGCCTCTCTATCCGACTTTGAGCGATCGTCGCGCAGGTTGTGCAGGTGCAGGCTCGTAGCAGACTGCCAATTGTGATCTAGGGACTGGGGATGACTGGGGCCTTTGAGCCATGATCCGGCACCTGTGTACACCACGGCCAGATTCTTGGAAATGGTGCGCTGAGAAGAAGAGCGGGGAGCCCAAGATTGGAGCTCACGCTCACTCAGTCTCTCTCTCTCTCTCTCTCTCTTGATCTCTTTGCTCTGTCGGCCTCTCCTTCTGCTTCCGGCTTGGATGTTGTGCGCAGCTGCTCTCAAGAGGCGCCACTGCTCCAGCTGCTGCGCAGCCTCAGGCTCTCCGAGGCCTCCCTGGCAGAAGGCCTTGTGCAGCAGGCCCGCCCCAGCGCTTATCAGCCCACTTGTAGGGGAAGTTGCGGGGCCGCTTTTCAACAGGAGTTCTTCTCTGGGCATCACTGGATACATTGCCAGGTTTCCGCGGAGCTGGAGCAATGGCAAGCCACTGATGCCAGGGAAGACGGCCGTCTAGCCTTGCTGATCCGCATGAGCATCGAGGCTTCAGTGCTTCGCTCAGAGGGGAACCATTCAGAAGCCGCGACGGAGCCATGCAGGTCTTGCAAAATTTCCTTCAACAGGTTTCGTCGTGGATTCAGGAGTGGAAGCTGCAAGATTCTCTGCGATTTGGACAGAGAATCAGTCGAAGCAGCGCCTGTGTTGCAAGGAAGCTCAACTCAAGTCAATCATGGCTGCATTGGGGCCGCCGCCAGAGGCCAGAGGCCGACGCGTTACCTGTGTCATGGTCTTGGTAACCGTTTGTCCAGGCTGTGGAAGTTCGCAGCGCATCAGAGGATTCGCAGGTGGCGTGGCTTCAACCGACATCAGACTGCCGTTTCATCATTGGTTGCAACTAGTTTCAGGACAGTGGGTGAATGAATACGCAGCCCCGCAGCAAAGCGATGGAATTCAAGCCGTGTCGCACGGAAAGTCAAAGTAACCTTCCGCACAGACGATGGACGTGCCGATGAAAAAAGACTGTGTGACTTTCAACCATTTTGCCAGCCATTGAGCAAGCTTTCGCCCTGTAATCTTGGCAAGCTCGTTTTTTTTTCAAATTCTGGCCCAAGTAGAACGTACGTGGGGGCAGCCGCCTGGAGTCCCACGTCCCTCAGGGATCAGAGGCCATTGCTTTATTGTCTCAGATATGCACGGAAGACAGCCGGCTTGTTCCTGAGGCAAGTGTCCTCAGGCCTCGAAAAGCGGGACATGGGGTGCCTGTGCTGTTGCTGCAATTCCCCGAAGCACGACGAGGATGCTCGGCGAAAGGAATGGAGCACGGGCACAGTACGTATGTAGGATGTACAACAGTCTCGGGAACCGCAGCACAGCACAGCTGAGGAGGGTAAAAAGTTCTCGAAAGGCACGGCCTTGACCACAAGTGTTTCGGAACTTTCCACGATGCACACCGCGATGTGGTGCCTTTGTGGGACATGCCTGAGGCGGAGACAATGACTTGTCAAATGGGCCGGTCGCATCGCGAGGGTGTACAGACGTATGGTGTTTGATCGTTTTGCTCGCCGCCTGGATGGCTTACATCGTAGTGACTGTGGCAGGACGTTTGTTTGCTGCGAGCTTCACGGTTTCAAAAGTTTTGGTTCGGATTCTCTGCGCTGTGTGAATGCATTTCCAGGACTCCAAGATGGAGCTCCAGCTAAGCTCTACCTTCCTCGCGACTACAGCGGGGCATACTGTGATTTCGAGCAAAACTGGAACAATGGACCCAATTTAAAGGGTCTGGCGCTCACTTTGACTTCTCTCCGCTGCACATGTGGGCGTGCATGTCTTCCATGATTGACCTGATGAGGTTTCCCATTTCTCAGCTACACAATGCACGGGACTCACAAGACGAACCGTTTGCAGCAGCACGGCCTGTAGAGGTGAGCGACCGCGACTGTCTGAGGAACGCCACAGCCACCACAGATGTCATCGTCAAAGCTTTGCTATGCTCCAGTGCATCGAGCGATGCACTGCAGAGCTTGTACTCTGCAGAAGCGTACAACGAGTACCTCTGCGAAGCTGGGATTTACATCAGTGCTTCCTGTAGCTGTGGGGCTCTGTGGTCTTGCTTGACGATGTCTGGAATTGACCGGCCAGTCCTTGTAATGCTGTGCACTGCCTGGGGAGGGGGAGATTCAGATGCAAACTAAATGTCTATCTTGATCCATGTCGCCGTGGTACTTTACTCACCCCTCCTCTGTCGGCCTGCCTGGAAGCTGAATGGTGCCTTGTAGAACAGAGCTCATTGGTGCCCAAGACCGTAGAGAAAGAAGTGTTCACCTGCCGTGAATCAGTGAAGCATTGTTTTCAACAAGCATGCGACAGCAGATGCTAAGGACTGCTGCCTTACTCCTTGTGCGAAATGTGAAGGCCTGTTCTGGCTTCATTTGTTTGTGCAGGCATTCCTGTCAAGTAGTCCCTAGGGGTGTCAATCTTGGAGCATCTTCGTCCAGGAAGTTTCGATGTTGGTGGCGATTTGGACCCCAGCAACTTGCAAGGGAGCATCACATCCAAGATAGCTGCTCGGTGGAGTCGACCCATGAGATGTCAATCGGTGATCTGACACACCCAATTGCGCCTGTACCGAGGGAGAACTGAAGGGCGCAGCGAACCCGTCGAACCTGTTTTCAGGCCTTTTCTCCGGACTGGCTAGTTGTAGCTGCCCAGCCTAGAAACCATCTTTGCCATGCACAGGTGGCGGAGCAAACGGGGATTTGTTCACAGAAATGTGGTGTCTTGGTATCCTGCATAGGTCGTTTTGGGTTCTTTTGAGACGACATCCATGTCATTGCTGGACTCCTCAGCATCCCAGGAGCGAAGCCACGAAGTATTTCAACATGGTTTGCTTAACATCCTGCAACGAAAACTTTGCAACTATGAATGCCAGCACGGATACCATCCGAGCCTTGGTGGCATCAGTGAATAGCTGGCCGCCGTACGCAGACATGTCGGCCATGACATTCTTCCCAGGTGAATGGACCTACACGATGTCAGAAGACGACGACTTGAAGAAGCACTGGGATGCTCTGACTGCCGGAGGGTTGGAATCTCAACCGCCAGCGATGCGCACCGAACTCCTCAAGGTTGGGGGGTCGGGAGTCTGGCGAGCTTCACAGGCCTGCCTTCATCAAGGACTCCATCAGCCAATTCACCTTCAAGGTGTCTCTGCTACCCATCAGGAGCAGGATCATAAGCAATTAGATGAGGCGTGTAAGATTGCGTCGGTTTAGTGTTCTTTCCGAGGCGCTCCCGGAGTCAATATGCCCTTACAACGCCTCCAAGTGCATCCCCTTTCCTGGTGTGGAGCCGCTTAGCTGCGCCTGCGGTTCGAGACTTAATATGAACCCTCATATATTGGGGTTATAGGGCCCTTAAAGAGCTTCACGTGCAAGAATTTGCTGAGGTTTGGAGAGCTGTACGGTGGCTACTGCAGTTTCAAGATGGGTCGAGCCCTTAGAGCCCTCGCTGCGCGTGCCCCCTTAAAAGAATCCCGAGACGAGGTGCAGAGGTGGTCGCAGCCATGGGCCAAGCCGCTTCGGAGATCTTCGAAAGTACGGGCCTTGCGTCTTTTCAAGACAGCTCTTCAGAAGCCGAGCCGCACGAAGATGCATGCAACACATGAGCGCTGCACGGTTTTGGTTTCCATTCAGTCTGCCTGCGTCCCCGCCCGGTAGTGTGTCGGGTCAGTAGCCGAGGAAACGATCGGAAAGTGGATGGGTGATTTTGAGAATTCGCTGCCGGCCTTCATCTTGGCGTCTTGACAGCACGAAGTGACAGACCACAGCCTGCTTGGGACACATCTTTAGCTACTCTGCGCTGTACACGGAGGTCGCACTCTGCAGCTTTATCATTGGCTTCATCTACCTTGTGCTTCTACGATTCCTCATCAAGTTCTGTGTTTGGCACCTCTGCCGATTCTGCTGGGAGTGACCAGCAAGTAGCCCCGCCTGAGACAGCATTGCTTTTGTCCTGTACTCCCCTCAGGTTTGCCGTCTTCCTGGTATTTCTTATGCTCGTCATTGGCGGCGGTCTTTGCTGGATTCGTAGCAGGCAGTGTCAAGGCAACCTGGCAAACCTTTACTTGGGGCTGTGGTGTCTTTGGTCTGAGGCTGCGACTTTCGCTGTAACTTCGTGCTTAGATGCGAGGTAGGTGTCCCTCTACGTCTGTACTGTCACCAAACAGACGTCTCCTGTCATCTCAGGTGCAGGCTTGCTGGAAACCGGGCAACAGATGGCAGTGTCAATCGCTGCAGCTTGGCATGCCATGTTGTGGTTGGTTTGATCGAATGGATGTCCTGTGGAATGAACGTGGAAGATCAACTTGCGCTGAGGTCACTGCTCAGACAGCCGCAGACAATGCGATGTCCGGCACACAGGCAGTGAGTGAAGCCATGACTGGAGCACTTTGGCTGCAGATTGAACTCAGTTCGTGTATTTGCTGGTTTCAGCCTGCTGGGTTGCATGTAAATGCAGTGCAAGCCACAGCTGAGTTTGCCAAGGACGGCGCAGATTATCGCGGCGTACAGACGCGCACAAAGAATGGCTACCAGTGTGAACAGTGGGGACAAGGCTACACCATGTTGGAGCAGCGATGCCATACACATCGTACGCAGTGCCCACCCCGGGCCGCTAAACCTGCACCGTGCCTCAGGCAATGCTGCCGCCTACAACAGCAGTACGTACCCAAACTCAGGCGCTCAGGGTTCTCGGCCTGTCATCAAGTGGCTGTAGAGCTTCGAACGTGAAGTGATAGATTGGACGAAGCTGGTTTGGGAGTGACATTCAATCGCAGCTCCGAGTTGTCCGTCTGTAGCCCCTACCAGTAAGTCTTGATCAGACATGTTTCATGCCAGCATTGAGAATGAGATACCCCCACTCACGAGGGCTCTTGGGCTGGAACAGGCCTGCTGAACAACTTCTGCCGCAACCCGTATCAGACCGGATCTGCGAACGTCGCCGCGACCATCTGGTGTTTCACCACTGACACCAGCGTCACGTGGGAGACATGCTCACCTGTTGGTGTCATCGCGCCTGTGACTTGACACAGAATGGAAGGCTGAAAGCTGCCACTTTTGAGAGTCCTGCGCAGCCCAGCAGCCAGGGCTACTTCTGCGCCTTCCTGAGGAGTGCGCCGCGGGCTATGCCATCACGAACAACGAGGTCAGAATAGTCCTGGAGGTTGTCGGCTACATACTCTGGGTCATCGCCGGCATCTATTTCATACTCGTCTGCTGCCTTGTCGACAGGACCTCCCTGGAATCTTCGTGTTCGCTGAAAGTCCAAAGGGCCCTGTGTGTTTGGCCCAAATATTTGCAACCGAGCTCCTCTGCAGAACACCGGGGTTCCGAAGGAAACAAATTGGGGCAAAAGCCATCGGGCGGCGGCTGCTGTTGACATAAGCGTGCAAGCATGCATGGGAAGTGGGCGGCCGAAAGCCACTACTGCCAACGTCATCTCAGATGTAATTTAGTGATATGCTCCAACCTTTAAATCGAGCTTATAAGCCTTCGTAAAGCCTCTGTAAAGCCAGCTGCTCCGAAGACCTACTGGAAGAAGCTTCCCTGAAGGATTCGGTTGGCGATTGCTGTGAACCAAGTGGCTGCCAGCTTTGTTAAGGACACACCCAGGCAGGACAATCCGGGAGCCATTGCAAAAGTCGACTTATAGCAACCGCCGAAGCCTTGGCATCCCATTCAGGATACTGATCATGCCAATTCTACAAGCCATGATTGGGATCCTGTGGATCTTGCTCTGGGCCCTCTCGGCAAGCTTTCTGCTGTCACAAGTGCCGGAAGACTACACACCAAAGGCCGGCTTGAGTTGTATCATTCTGCTACATTTTGGAAGACTCCGTGCAGCGTGTGCTCCTGCACCAGGAGGCTTTCACATCCTATGACGAAGCTTTTGGAACAGTGACCTCGTAGAGCTTAGAGTTGAACTGAGTCGAAGGGTTGGCTTGAGGTGTTTGGGAGCTTGACCATGCTGAGCTCTTTGCGGATGCTTTGGGGCGACATGGAGTGGTGTCTTTCTGCCATTGGAAGCTCACAACCGAGGCGAATGTTTCCGGCAAGTGCACGGACAAGTGGCCCACAGGTGGTGTTTGGAAATCTGAGTCCTGTGGCTGGCCTGCAGATTCGGGCACACCCTCTTTCACGGATGGCTTGCCAGGGTGGACTGTTTGGCTCTCTCGGTCTGTGGGTTGACGCTTGGGCCGGGGAAGAATGCCTTTGAGAAGTCTGGGAATGAACTTGTTGCTAAGGGCTTCCTTCCAGAGCATGCCAAGCTGATACTTTACCAGGTCAGAACACCCAAAAGCCACCCAGGTGATTTGGTGAACGGGACCTACGCGTGCTGGAGATGCTCTCCTCCGCGGTATGTCTTCGACTGGCGATTTGCGGTGCCTGTTCAGGAAATCTAGGTAACATATCCGACCACATGCCATGCTTGGGACACCGACGGCATGTTTTGTCTGGCAAGGTTTCCTTCTTTGTTTTCCTTTGGAACAACGTCGCAACCTCAGCTCACGAGAGAATTCGTGTTTGCCCGGACGATAGGAAGACCAGCATCCTCTCGTGATCCGTCACGGCAGGCCCTGAACATTGCCATTGGGCAGTGCCTCATCGCTGGTGCCGTCGGGATATGGTTCTTCACCTCAAACTCCGACAAAGGCACCAAGCGGGTCGCTTGACACAATGAAAGCACTTCACGATGCGGGGTTTTGGGCGAGATCCCTGCACCAGACTCAAAAGACAGCAACCCTAATGTGCCTAGAAAAGCTTGAGGTCATTGCGCAGTCCACATGGTGCCTTGGTTGTGTAGTGTGATAGATGTAGATGCCGGGTTGGAGTGTGCGCATTGTGGCCTCTGGGACGCTTGGTCACCCAGAATGCAAGCAAGCAAGGAACGTGTTCCGCTATCACTTGGGTTCGTTGGCCTTTGGCTCCTTCATTATCGCGGTGATACAGTTCATTCGCTACTTGATGAAGTACTACGAGAACCTTGCCCGGCAAGTGTTCCACCAAGAGCTGCGACCATGGACAGACCAGTAAACCAATAGCTCGGGCGTCGCTACGGTACTGTAACGATTGTGTACTAGTGACTTACTACGTACAGTATCGGTTAGTAAGAAAGGTTCCGTTGAGAGTCGCACTAATTTCAACATCACTTGGATGAATAGTACGAATAGAAGGAGTTTAGTGCTCATGTAGTAACTAAGTGCTCATGATGCCAAGCTGCCTGGGTTCATAGAACGGTCCTCTTTCCGAGGAAGCAAGCAAAAGCGGCAAAGAACCGGGTACTGGTTCTGGTCCTCAAAGTCTTGCAGTGCTGTATTTGGTGCTTTGAGAAATGTGCCGGGTCCTTGGCTGGGGACGTATGCAATGATTCGCTTTAAGTTGCCGGATCTGTGGCGCAAGCCATGACAGGTCAAGTTCCTGAATAAGAGACTTGGGCTGCAGCGCAGGGGGTCGACGCATGCACAGACCAGAGCGGGAGCCGCAACCAAGGAATGCGTATATTCAGATCGCTTTGATGGGTACGAACTTCTGCGTGTCTGCCAAGAAGGCCTTCTTCTTGATTCTGAGAAATGCCTTCCGTTTCGGAACTGTGGCAATCCTCGGGGCTCGCTGGCGAACTTGATGAATGTTTTCATATCGGTTTTCTGAGAGAGGTTAGAATTTGCAGCTTTGTGGTTTTGTTCTACCTTCGTGTCATCTGAGACTATGATCCATGCCATCGGTTTCCTGTTCATTATCGCATCCAGTGTAGCTCTGGGCTACCTCATCTTGACGGGCCTCTATCCTGATATTGCCCCTGCTGTCTGCCTCATCATCTACGGCTGCACAGCCTACGTTGCCTCGACCTCGGTGCTGGGGCAGTCAAGTCTTCAAGCATGGAAGCGGATCTCGGAGTTCACGAGGTTTCCAAGCTCTTCATGCCCCCCGGCAAAACCGGAATGCTCACAGGATCTGAGGGCTGACAGGCAGAGGCTCCTGCAGCGATCACGAGCGTATGAGACTACTTCAACAAAGACGATCTAGAAGGCATGCTTTATGCCTTTGTCTCGACGTGCGGACACGCAGAGCCTCAACACAGGCGAACAAAACGACCTTGGCCTTGATCCAGCACACTGCTACAAAATACCGCGGGTCTACACGTGGTGCCGAAAACCTTGGGGGCTCACCTGGATCGTTTGTGACAGCAGCAGAGCAAGACTTTGGCGAAGAAGGGCAGGCCAGCACTCTCGGCCACCCACCTCCTACTCCCGCCCACTCATACCTTCTCACACCAGGAGGTTCGTGCATGTTGGGGCAGAGAGCTAGCAGGCTGGTTGCTAAGAGTTGCCGGTGTGTTGCACTTTCTCTTTGATGGTGTTGTCGCACTTTGAGAGCTCAGGAACGTATTTGGCCTTGCAGTGGACACAACGTTGCAGTGTTTCATTGCTTGCGAGGAGCTAGCATGGCTGTGCTTGCAAGTCCCAAACATCCATGCAGCTGCAGGTCAGGTTGTGATAGTTGCTAGTAGCGCTGTAGCCTGCAGGAAATGGAATTGGGAGGCGACTTCGTTCCGAGCTCCATGAGCAGATGGATTCTCGGCGTGACCGAAGACATTTTCATTGCATCTCGCCTACCTGTCTTTGCTCGCCCCAGGCTGGACAAGTCCAAGCCCATCGTAGATGAGGATGACTGAGCATGGAGGCAGCCATCAACCTTTTGCCCACGCACCCCGCGTGGAGCATGCAGATGTTCGAAGCTAATTCATGCATTTGCGCATTCATGCTCTCTGGATGGATGCTGCTTTCAAGGTGCTTGCTTCCTTTCCCTGTGTCTGCATGTTCAATGCAGGACTCATGCATAAACTGATGGGAAGGGCGCAACCAACAGAGTGCATCCGGTGCACTGAGAGTAGGGCCCGACCTGGCCGTCGCACGACGATCACGACATGATCACGACACATTCTGACATCCTGGCGCGAGCGCGGAAGGGATGTGTTTCACCGTTGAAGTCTGGTTTCCCGGCTACGGCCGGAGAGATTGTTTGCCATTCGCCATGTCCGAATGGACAGCAAGGCAATTGCTACTTCCTTGCCGCTGGGCTTTAAGCGAGAGGTACCTTACCAATTTAGTGCAGCTTCCATGCTGCCCATCTTACCAGGCAGTTTACCTTTTCCTGCTAGAGAGAGCCAGCGGAAGCTGTCAGATGGCTGGAAGTTGTCCCACCCAGCAGATGGTCGGTCAGTTTGGCAGTCATGTTCCAGACAGCTCTTTGCAGGTGACACTGGGTTGGCTGCATCAAAGTCAAAGCGTATCGCCAAAAAGCTGCCACATCCCGCAATTCCTAGATTGTACGGGCTCTTGCTGTGCCATTGGGGAGCCTGAACTCGTCAGCAACCAAGAGCTCAAAATGCCTCGGGCCCCGCTTTGAGCGAGCAAGAAAGCCGAGACGGCCGCAAAGCTGAGAATCGGAAACTTCCTGAAGTCTCAGCAGCAACATGCAATTGATCCCTCTCAGGCTTGCTCTTGCTGCTCCGTGTTCCGGGTCTTGCCCTCGAGCATCTTGTGTGGGTGTCTCTACACTTTGCTGCCACTTCAGGCGGAGCCCGACACGCTGCTGCCGGAACCACCGCAGCAGGACTTAGAAGCGAATCTGTAGTGCCAGGAGCACCCATCTTTCCAAGCCCTCCGCCATCTCGGTGACTTCAGGATGCAGCTGAGAAGAAAGGGAGCAAAGTGTGGCTCGGTCACGTCAAATAGCTATGAGGAGACACAGGATGAGAGTCGGAGAAACTTGATCTCTGGAGGAAGAAGCCCAAGAAAGGAAAGGAAGAGAAGGAAAAGGGAAAGGAAGAGAAGGAAAAGGAGAAGGCTGCTCCTCTCGACTGTAGGGCTTCTGTGTGCCATTTCGACACTGTGCCCCGGAGGCGGAGGCCATGAGCCAAGAGCCCCAAGATTCCAAGGAATCGACAAAAGGCTCGAAGTCCAAAAGTAAGGAGACAAAAGCGGAAGTGAGCGTCGCTGATGAGCAAGCCGGTGCAGCACCAGACGATCAGTTCATTGGCCGTGCCCTGAGTTCCGGGCTTTGGCTCCTGCCACGGCTGATCGAGCCTTTTCTCTAGTGGCAATGGTTCTTCCATTCTTGCGTGTCTTGAGGCGCAGGCGGTTGAAGACCATGTTGACACGCATTCTGTCTTTAGCTGAGGCAAATTCCATTCAGCTCTTCGTGTTGACCTTAGCTGTCTCTCCGTATGATTTCCTTGCGATTTGATTCGGGAGCTCACCGAGAGTGCTTGCCGAGGGTGGGGAAAGACAGAGGCCGAGGCACCTGTTTGCGTCGCAGCTCCATGTTTGGCCAGAACAACCATCCAGAAGTTTGGACGAACTTGTCTACATTTGCAGATGCGGGGCCTCTGCGACGTTAGGTACAGGCGCTGGTGACAGATGCCTCGGTGTGCTGGCCTGAGGTCTTGCTGCTTGCAATCAATCATGTCCTGTCTTGTCGCGGATTCCGGACTGTCCCCACATAACAAGTTGCAAATTCTGCACAGAGCCACCGAGCAAGGTCCCGGCGCTCGGCAGCAAGCTAGAGTCTCAGCTCTCGGATGCAGCGAAGCTCGATGCTAGCAGTGTTGCTGTGGCGGTATTGTTGTTAAATCATTGGTGTGATTTAACTGTTAGTACTATGAAAGAAAAATTTGTTACTATGATCACCACTACTGCTGCTGCTGCTGCTGCTACTGCTAGTAGCAGTAGTAGTCGTCGTCGTGGTGGTGGTGGTAGTAGCAGTAGTAGTAGTAGTAGTAGTAGTAGTAGTAGGAGTAGTAGTAGTAGTAGTAGTAGCGGTAGCGGTAGCGGTAGCGGTAGCCGTAGCCGTAGCAGTAGCAGTAGCAGT